GAAAAGATTGAAGTTGTCAAGGACTTCATTCTTCTTGGATCAACTATCAACACTCACAGAAGCAGCAGTCAAGAAATAAAACACATATTGCATTGGGCAAATCTGCTGCACAAGACCTTTTTAAAGTATTGAAGAGCAAAGATGTCAGTTTGGGACTAAGATGAGCCTGACCCAAGCCATGGTATTTTCAATAACCTCATCTGCATGTGAAATCTGGACAGTGAATAAGGAAGACTGTAGAAGAATCGATGTTTTTGAGTTATGGTGTTGGAGGAGAATATTGAAAGTGCTATTGGCTGCTAACAGAACAAACAGATCTGTGTTGGGAAGAAGTTCAGCCAGAGTGCTCCTTGGAGGCCAAGTTGGCCAAACTTCATCTCTCACTCCAGTGCTTATCCTACACAGCAAACACTGGCATGTCACATGCTCAGGGTCTAAAGAGACCTTGCTAAGCACTGCCCAGGCATTAACTCATTCTCCTCTTTTCACAGCTGTATAGGGTCACTATGTGTGGAATCAACTCTGGGGCAGTGGGTTTGTTGTTTTAATAGTGAAGGACTGGAACAGAAAGCGGTGGGGTGCTCTCACATTTCTTAGAGAGTAAGGAAGCAGAGCTCGGGGCCAGCCAGGTATCCCAGCTCACATGCTGTGGCAGGACCAGGGCATCTCCGGCCTCCGCTGCCCACACACGCCTAATGGACTCACATGTGTTCATGTGCTCTGACTTCACATACCTGGGATCTACTTCCAGGACTATGCCTACATGTACACAGAGTCCAGCCCAAGATAGCCTCGTGTTGTGTTGCTATAGCAACCCAGAACCTGGAAGCCAATGGAATCATCGTCAATCCAGGAATGCTTAAAGAAATGACGACCCCGTCCTCACAGTTGAATAAGACAGGCTTGTTAGGATGGATAAAGACAAACCCACTGCCACCAAGTTGATTCTGACCCAGAGTAAGCCCTCGATAGGGGTTCCAGCCCAATGTCTAGCCCACGGAAGCACCAGGGAAGGCTCTTTATGAAGAATAAGACGAGGCTGTGTACCGTGATGGGAACTGAGGACCTCTGGGGTTGTACGCCTTCTTTTTGATTTTCAGACAGAAGCAGGAGGCAGGCAGGGGCACGGATTGAAGTACCCAGGCTCACGTCCAGCCTTGGATCTGTTCGGACAGAGCTGGAAAAGTATGTTTTTCTTCCTTGATTTACATAAATCAAACATAAGTGATGGGCGGGTTTTAATTTCTCATCATTTTCCTTCATTTCTTAATCAAATTCTGCACCATGTCGTCAGAAATAATTAACCCAATGTCTACATCTAGCAGCTGGTATCTGTCAGCACACACGGCCTCAGAAGACCTCCCAGTGACCTTTAGGTTAACCGTGGGGATGCAGGAGTGAATTGCTCCTTGAGGCTGAGTAGGTCCCACATGCCAAACCACAGACATCTACGTGGCCGACCCAGATGGCCTCTGGATCCACCCAGAAGGAATAGCTGGGTGGGTCACCTCATGGCCACACATGTCCCTAGATGTGTGCGTGTGTCCGGAGTTTACCATGAGCCTCTGGGCTGGGCAGAAGCGTGTGGTATGAAAGCCAGCGTGTGGTCAGAAAGGCGTGGTCTCTGCGCTCTCAGAGAGACAGTGTAGAGGGAGGCATAGCCTCAAAGAAGTTCCCAGGCCTGATATGCCACCCAGACAAGCCACCAAACAGCCTCAAGGGGAATGGTTATTACAGGGGGTTGGAGAACAACTCTGTGTTTGACTTGTGGACTGCCAGAAGAACATACAACTCAGCCTTTGAAAAAATGCAACCAGAATATTCCTTAGACATGAAGATGGTGAGATTCCAGCTGGTTTTCTTTGGACATGTTGCTGTTAGTCATTGTTGTTAGGTGGCACAGAGTTGCTTCTGACTCTTAGTGACCTTATACACAACAGAACTAAACACCGTCTGGACCTGCGCCATTCTCACACTTCTGGTTAAGCTTGGACACGTCATTAGAAAAGACCAATTTCTAGGAGAGTTTATCCTGACTGGTAAAGTAGAGGATGAGCAAAAACAAGAGAAATGTCTCAAACACACCAGTGCTCCTACGGATGATGCAACGCCAGGTAATGTCCTGTCCTTCATAAGTCAGGGTCGAGGGAAAGGTGGTCATGAACAACAATTGCTGCCTGTTGAGTGAAGACCTGTGACCGACCCCTGGATCAGTGTCTGAACTAGGGGGACGTTAGTCCAGATAGGTCTGACCCTCTAGGTCTGCCTCCTGGAAGTTCCCCATCGCTGTCCTCCAGCACCATAGCCTTGGTGCACTTTGCTCGGACCTCAGGTCCTTTGCTTCTTCCACAGATAGTTCTCTCTGCCCGGGACTCAGTCCATCAGGCTAATATAATGGCTCCTTCATGTCATTCTCAGATCAACTCATTTTTTCTTTCCTCAAAGAGACCTTCATGTAGCAGGAGACACAGAGAAGAGTTAAGTGGACAGAGGCAAATACTATAACTGTTGGTACGTGGAGGGGATTGCAATCATTGTAATGAAGCAAAGTGCATGTGATTTGTTAAATGTAAACCTGATGATCTGTTCTGTAAACCTTCTCTCAGTTCACAATAAAAGGTCAAAAACAATAAGACCTTCACCTAACCTACCCACTCAAAACACTGGAACAAGGGCCTGTTTTATTTCCTTCAAGCGTCTATCACTGTATGGGATTCCCTTGCCAATTTACTTGACTATTTAGTAGTAATCACCCTTCCTTTCTAGAAAGCTAAGTGACACTGTAAAAGCAGGCTCATTCACCACTACGATCCTGTGTCTCAGAGCAATTCCTGGGATATGTTGTTGTTGTTAAGTGCCCTCTCATTGGTTCAATTCACAGCAACTCTGTGCACAACAGAACAAAACCCTTCCCGACATTCACCGTCCTCACAATTGTTGTTATAGTTGAATGCATTGTTGTTGCCACTGTGTCAACCTATCACATTGGGGGTCTTCCTCTTTTTCACTGACCCTCTACTCTACCAAGCATGACATCTTTCTCCAGGGACTGGTCCCTCCTAACAACATGTCCAAAGTGCAAAAGAGTTTCATCATCCTGGGAGATGTTATTTTGTTGTTGGTAAGTGCTGTTGAGTTGTTTGCTGGAATGCTGTTTCACTACAAAAAGAAACAACTGCCAAAATGTTGTCAAGCAAATGTCATAATCAACTAAATTGCCACGTGACCTGGCCTATCTGCGACCCACAGTGAAAGCTAGGTGTGTGTGTGTGTGTGTGAGGCAGGGGAGAAGGGGGGCCTCAGTAAATCCCAGCGTCCACTCCTAGCCTGAGTGCACGCATCCCTACAACAAGCAAACTTGTAGAGATGCAAAGCCCACACCACAGGCAACTGGGAACCTTGGGGGACCCTGAAGTTCTAAATAAAGTGCACAGAGACATATACTTATTCAAATGCAAAATCTGAATTTAAAAATAAAGGTTTTCTAGTGACTTGTGTGGTTGTCAGGTGCCGTCAGGTTGGTTCCAATGCACAAGGACCCTACAGGGCAGGGAAGAGCTGCCCCCATAGGGCTGTTAGGCTGTGATCTTTACAGGAGTAGGTTGGCAGGCCTCTCTCCCTCAGAACAGCTGACATGAACACTAAAGGAGGAAAATGAAATTCATCTTCCCTCACAGGAAATATCTCAGTGTCCACCCTTCCTTCTCTCACACCCGCTTCTCTCTCTCTTTCCTTCCCTCTCCTCCTCTCTCTCTGTTTCTCTGTCCTTTTGGCAAATGTAACATCCAAGACTCTAAACTCTCCCTGGGACTGACATGGAGCCAGTTGGCAGCACATCGCAGCAGAGGGCGTTGGAGACAAGCACATGGAAAGACAGGAGAGACCCTCTTTTGACCCTAATCCCCACTAACAGCCCACTCAAGAGCTCAAAAAACAAGATCCTGGAACACACTCCCTGCCTGATGGGACAGGGGACCACCATGGTGTCCCCAAAATAGCAGTAGGTGGAGGCCCTTCAGCTGTGGCTGGCATTCCACAGGCTCACTTACAGCGGCCGATAAGCTATATAAAGGTTGTTTGGTGACCACGACAGAGCGGGTGGAGAAAGCTAATTACAGCTGAGGCTGTGGGCTGGTCCTCAGCCTCTGCCCCAAGAGCTGCAGAGAGCAGAGGTGAGCCTGGGTCCCCTGGGAACTCCAGCCAAGCAGAGACAGGCAGGAGTTGGCACAGTGGCAGACAGGGGCTAGCCTAGGACTGCCTCAGGAACCTAGGGCAGGGGTGAGGGACCTTGGGAGAGGCATATGCATACTTCAGAGATAAGGCAGGTTAGTTCCAGATTAGCGAGACAAAGCAAGGGCTGCCGGAAGCCGAGTCGTGTGTCATTTTCTGGCTTACTAATTTATAACAAAGTGACACTAACACCAGTCCTTCGTCTATGAAGTGAGCAATTGCACAATGAAAGAGTTTGAAAGATTGTGAGAAGAACTCAGATAAGGCACAGAGACATGAAGTGACCACAGGTTGTTGGAAAGATGACACCAAACAGATGTGCTCCATACAGGGTGACCACCACCCTTCAGTATGTAAAACTGCAGGAATAGCTGCAAAGTGCAGCAAAGCAAAGAGCAATTAAACAAGGGGTGGTCGTACAGAGGGCAGGGGCCTTCTGTGGCTGAGAAAGCAATGGGCACCTTTTGTAACATCCGCCATGCTGATCGAAGCCTGAAGGAGTCATCATAAAATGGAGATGATTTCTTCATGGGCCCTGGGACTCAGGGAACAGCCACTGGTCATTGTTAACCAGCGTGCTCTGTCCTGGGCTCGAAAACCTGCTCAGTAATTAAACAGCCAACAGGCTTACAGAAGGGAAGTGGGGAAAGACGCGAGCTCCCAGGGGTAGAAGATGAACTGAATCTAGGCTCCTCCTACCTATCATACAGCGCCACAACAGGCCTCTGGAAATGGTGACCTTGTTCCTGTCTGCTAAGGGACCCCCTTACTTTCACACAGGCGACGCCTCAGCTTGCCACGGATCTTGTCGATGGCATTGAAGTCGGACACGTGGAAGACGTGTGCGGACTTGGGTTCCGAGGCGATCTCCTCCAGCTCCTCCTTCAGTGCCTCGCCCACACCCACAGCGAAGATGCGGATGCCCGCCCGGTGCGCGGCCTTGGCGGCGTCCAGTACCAGGTCCTGGCTGCGGCCGTCGGTCAGCAGGATAGCCACCTGCTTGAAGGCGCGATTGCCGGGCCGGCCACCAGCCTGCTGGGAGAAGCTGTGGCTGGTGATGTAGCGCAGCGCGTCCCCCGTGTTGGTGTGGCCCCCGTGGTAGGCCAGTAGCCGCGCGGCCGTCTTGACTTCCTCCCTTGAACCAAAGCGGCCCAGTTCGAAGGCCATGGTGGGCCGGTCACTGTAGCGCACGACGCCCACGCGTGTGCGGTCGGGGCCCACCTCAAAGGTGTCCACCAGGTTGGACACCCACTGCCGCACCTTCTCAAAGTCCTCCTTGCCCACGCTGGAAGAGGTGTCCAGGAGGAAAACCAGGTCATAGTGCACACTTTTGCAACCTGCAGGGCGGAACGAAAGAATGATTGAGTGAAAGGGGTCTGGGCAGGGGACCATCGAGTCACACACCCCTGACACCAACACCCACTTTGCCTTTCAATAGCTGGGGGACCTTGTCTCCTGGTCTAACCTGGGAGCTGCCGAGCCCCGACTGTCAACAGGCCATGAGGACGGCATTTCCGGATTGCTGGGGAGATGGATTCCATTGATGATACAGTGAATCTCAACATCATAGACTAAAACCTGTGAAAGTCAGAACCTGCCCAGATGTTTTCCACTAGAATGAGCCATAGTAAAGTACTATGACTGCACCCTGTCAGAAGCAGAAAACTTACGAAAGCCAGAAAAGTAGTCTTCCTGTGAAGGCTGGTTCTCGCAGGTGTCACTGCGTATCTTAGGATCCGTGAGGCCTACCATGTGCCAAACACTTTACACTTTTTTAAATCTTACTTAAAAAGTTGTTGTTGTTGTTGTTGTTATGTGCTATCGAGTCGGTTCTGACCCATAGCGGCCGAGGGTGTACATCTTTACGGGAGTAGAAAGCCTCATCTTTCTCCAGCGGAGCAGCTGGTAGTTTCGAACCGCTGACCTTAAGGTTCACAGCCCAATTTGTAACCACTACGCTATCAGAGCTCCTTACTTAAAGAGTTAATTCCATATATTTTTATTTTCTAAGCAGGCATGCTTATTTCAGAAAAAGCAATCATAGAATATCATCAATGTCAGCATTGCCATCCATCTACATAGGGATGTTGTTGTTGTTGTTGTTATGTGCCGTGGAGTCGGTTCTGACTCATAGTGACCCTGTACAGGGTTTCTGAGGCTATAAATCTTTACGGGAGCAGAAAGCCTCATTTTACTGCCGCGGAACAGCTGGTAGTTTCGAACTGCTGACTGTGAGATGAGCAGCCCAATTCGTAACCACTACTTTAACCCCTGTTAAAGTGTTTATGTTACTTTTTGTTTGTTTGGTGCCGTTATTAGGTGTGGTCTAATCAATTTCAACTCATAAGGAACCCATGCCCAACCCAACAGAATGCAGCCTGTTCCAGCTCGGCACCATCCTCTCCCATTGGCCCATTGCTGTAGCCACTGAGTCAATCCATCTCTGATTAACCACACATGATGTCCCACTGGTAAATCCTCTGGTAAACCACAGTGTAATATATATTTTTAAATAAACCATGCAAACCAGTTGTCTTTCAGTCTATTCTTACTCATGAAAAGTTCTAATGAGTTCTGGTGGGGCTGTAGGGTAAAGATTAGACTGCTAACTGCAAGGTCGGTGGTTCAAACCCACCAGCAGCTCCAAGGAAGAAAGATGAGGCTTTGTGCTCCTGTAAGGATTTACAATTGTGGAAATCCTATATAGAGTGGCTATGAATAGGACTTTACTCAGTGGCAGTGGATTTTAGTGAGTTGCATTATTCCTCATAGGATTTCCAGCACTGGTTTTGGGGAAGTAAATTTGCCATGCATCTGGGTGGACTCAATCCCAAACAAAACAAAACAAAAAAAACCTATTGCCTTCAAGCCGAATGGTTTTCCACCCAACAATTCATTCAAATTTTGTTTCGTGACGTGGATTTCAATCCTCACAATATAACAGCGTATTTTCAGTAATATGGAATCAAAAGGCCCCATTGGGATTCCAAGTCTGTACATCTTTATGGAAACAGACTGCCACATCTTGACTTTTGTTTCTTGTCAAGTGGTTTCAGACTCAAGTTAATTCTGACTCACACTAATATTCCATAGAGTTTTCAAGGTGGTGACCTTTCAGAAGCAGATTGCCAAGCCTTTCTTCTGAGAACTTCTAAGTGGGTTTAAAGCACCTGTCTTTCAGCTAGTAGTCGAACTCTTACATACAAGGGGGCTTCAGAGAGTTCATGGGAAAATCATGTTGTCTTTTAATTACATGTACTTTGTGAACCCCCCTCCCCTCATGTTTGTGAAGCTATCAGGTTGGTCTAGTGTGATGTTGGATAAGCACTGGACTGCTAACTACAAGGTCAGCAGTTCAAATCCACCAGCCGCTCCTTGGAAACCCTATACAGTGTTGCTATGAGTCGGAATGGACTAGAGGGCATTTCACAACAACATCAGGTTGGAAAAGGTAAAAAGAAAAGCCAGTGATGTTAACAGTGCCTGTGCACAGGAGATTCAACACTCATACATGGGACAGGTGGCCACGGGGTCTGTCATCCTCAGGGGCTTCAAAGCCTTCTAAAGGAAGGTGTCTTCTGATACACAATTACAAATATAGTGACTTGTCCTCAGAAAGCAATCAAACAAGAGGAGGAAAAAACAGAATTCATAAGGAAATTCACCAAGGTATTTAGAAGCAAAACCCCGCAGACTATCTGCAAGGTGGCCCGTGTGGAACTATGTAAATAACAATCATATGTATTCATACTGGACAATGCTGGGCTACCATTGCAGGATGGGGATTAAGAGGCTGCGTTCATGTGCATGAATGCATTTTTCCGATGCAACATGGAGTGTAAAAAGCTATATACCAAACATGCATGACAGAATTTCTGGAAACGCAACCTGCACTGTGTGGATCTATGTATACAACTGTAGTTCAGTGTTTACACAGAAGAACATACAACAAAACTGTTAGTGATTCTTATAATGTTCTTCCCTTTTAAAAATATATTGTGATGTGGGTTAGAGTACAGAGCAAACTGGTTTTCCATTCAGCAGTTGGCACCCATTTAGTTTCGTATGTGGACTGCAGTTCCCACAATATGACAGCATGCTGCCCACTTCCTCCCTGGGGTCCCCTTCGTCCTTCCTTCCTGCTGAGCTTTGTCCACCGGCCAGTGCTGTCCTTTGGGTCTCCTGTGGTTGAGTTTATGATTTTCTTTATAGCCTTCCTAGTTTCTGATTTCATATTTGTAATCAATCAATTAATTAAAAAAAACAAACAAAAAAAGGGAATGAAGCTATTTGCATTCACACACATACAACTTAAATACTTTCCTATCCCAGCCTAGATAAGATCACTCTGAAAATTTTGACACTTCCTTAGTCTTTCAATGTTTAAGTTCAAGCTACAAGATGCATGACAGAAGTGAATTAGACCCCTGGGGGCTGATTTCCACAGGACTGGCATTGAAGTGGGGGTGGGGGATTGCTTGGATGTGGGGATTCAAAGATCATTTCTGGGGAGGCTTTCTCTTGGACACAAAAGCTCATCCTGTTGTTTTGGGGGCACCAGTGTCCCTGACCTGTTCAGGGTAATTACTGTGGAGGGGCAGTTAGGGCCCAGCCTGGGGCTGTAATCCTAGAGTAAATGTGTTTTAAGGTATGGAAGGTTTGTTTATCTGGAGGCCTCACCAGGAGCCCTTTATAGCTCTCAGTATGTTTTCACCTGGAGGCCAGGAATACACTGGACCATGGACATGTGAGAATTAAGTGATATGAGGTAAAAAGAGCTCTGATGAAATTAGGGGCCAGCACCCTGACCTTGTGACCCTACTGGAAGGCCCTGTGACCTCCCATGAGTGACTACTTCCCTCTGGGCCACCATCTGCCCCCAGCAGTCCCATGAAGGTTCCCCTTTATCCTGCTACCCCCCGACAGTTCCCAGTGTGCTCTCTCTCTGTCACACACTCACACACACACATACACACACACACACCTGCTTCACTAGTGATCATCACAAACGCATTTGAAGGATGTCTCTTGGACAACTGATACACTCCCTCTCACACACACCACAGAACACACATGTATAATACACCCACACCCTACACTTACACACACAGACAGACACACGGACAAGCATTTTGTACAGAAGACCCACCTGCTCTCTGTACCTGGCCATGGCTGCCCCTACTCCAGAGCAGGACCATCCAGAGCAGGAAGGCCACTGGACTCCCTCCAAGTCTGCCCATGGCTCTCTTGTGCTTGGAGACAAGTGGTTTTCAGCCAGGAAGGGTCTACAAGAGCATCACCTGTGTAGAGAAAGACAGACCTTCAGGGAAAGAGAATGGTCACAAGAGGCCTACCAGCCTCACCACCATCCTGTCTCCGGACTCAACTCTTCTGGCAACCAACAACACAATGGTCTAAAAAGCAAAGCCGATCGTCACCATGCCCTTCCTCAATCCACTCTTCCATCCCTCCATCCATCCATCCAATTAATCCATGTATACTGAGAACTCTCAGGCCACTTGGTCTATTTCTTCATCCAGCCAATTAACACATGAGTATTGAAGATCCTCAGCCCATCCGTCTGTATCTCCATCCATTCAATTAACACATGTATATTGAGAATCCTAAATCCATTGGTCTATTTCTCCATCCACCCAATCAACACATGTATATTGAGGATCCACCAGGCCCCATGGAAAGACTTGAGGATGCAGAAAAGAATGGAAGAATATTTCAGATCTTGAGGATCTCACAGCCACATCTTAACCAAAATCTTTCCTCATCTGCTACTTACCCCACCACAGATGCCCTGCCTTCACCTGTCCACCTCTGTCCAGCAGTATGCCACATCTCTCCCCATCATGTTGCACCAGTAACTATGTATGACCCATTTGTCCAGGACCAGAAGGGCCCTCACCCAGGAGTAAACAGGTCAAGCAGGGGCAGTCCTGGTAAAGGAGCCTGACCTTGCTCCTTAGTGAGGTGAGTGAGCATTTCTTAAACTCAATCTTCTTACACATGAAGCAAGGACAGCTGCCACCTCACCAGCAGGGTGTTGTGAGAGAGGTGAGAAGATTATACTTCACATAGCCAGGCACACTCTAAACAACAGACCCCAGACCAAATCCACTGCCATGGAGCCACTTCCAAGTCAGGGTGACCTCGTGTGTTACAAAGCCGAACTGCTTCGTAAGGTTTTCTAGGCTGTAATCTTAACAAAGCAGATGGCTTCTGTAAGCACCATTGGGTGGGTTTCAACTGCCAACTGTTAGGTTTGAGCACAAACCATTTGCACCACCCAGCATTTTGGTGCGCACAAGGAGCTCTGGTAGCGTAGTGGTTACGAATCAGGCTGCAAACCGCAAGGTCAGCAGTTTGAAACTACCAGCTGTTCCACGGAAGAAAGATGAGGCTTTCTGCTCCCGTAATGATTCACAGCCTCGGAAACCCTGTACAGGGTCGCTATGAGTCGGAACCGACTCCACGGCACATAGCAACAACAACAGATGCTCTGGAAAGGTGAGCTGTTTTGCAGCTTGGTCCCTGGCCTCCCAATCCGGCAATGACAGCCACCTGTCTCCACTGTTCTTCCTGCAGGGACTGGCGGCAGAGTTGGCATGGTGTAGGTCACACCCCTAGTCCTGGGAGGCAGAGCTCTGCCACTAGTCCCCCCAAAGTCCAGCAATTAATTTACTGAGCTGGGTTCCTTCCTCAAGCCAGCCCTTTGCCATGGTAACCAGCATTCACTATTCAGAAGAGGAGGGAGGGAAAACAAGGTTCATAAAGCAATTGAGAGAGAAAATGGGATGTGGTACATGGCTGAGGCAGCCTGGGTGGAGGGCGAGCTAAGCCTCATCTAGGGGGTCTGGCAGCTGCCCATGTAGGTGGGGGGGCAGGGAATGAGGCCCTGATGGCCAGCATGTTGCTGGGTGATGGGCAAAGCTCTGGGCAGGAATCTCGTCAGGACATACAGTGTGACGTGGCTGTGTCCAGTCTACTCTGGATGTTTTCTATCAGAGGCCCAGCTCTGGGCTCTGCTGCTCTCCTCCTGAGCCATTTGGCATGCAAGCCAGCCGCTGGTGCTGTGTTGGAGGATCAGGGAGAAGGGGTTGCAGACCTCAGTCTCAACAGGGCTGTCCACAGCCCAATGCAGCTCCCTACTTTGTTTGGAAGGAACTGTTGAGCCTGGTCCTTCATTCAAACCTTGGCTTTGTGCAACATGGTGCAAACCCTCTTCAGTCAACAAACACACATTGAGTCTTTCCCCATGCCAGGCACTGTTATAGGCTTCTCTTGGGGGCAGCCAGCATCATAATCCATCAGAATTCCCGTGATCAAAGTCCAATTCTGCCTAACTAGCTTCCTTGTAAACAAGGAAACATTATTAACCTCTCTGGACCTCAGCTCTTTCATCTGAGAAGCAGGGACACTAATAATACCTCCCAGGCTTGCTAGAGGAGGACTCAAATAAATTGCTATATATGAAAAGCTTAAGGAGCTCTGGTAGC